TGGCTGATCTCAGATAGGTCTGATTGTTTAGGATCGCGACAAGTATGTTCTCTTAGTTGCAGGTAGATCCTTGTTCTCCTTTATCCCTCCTAGACATGGTAAGTCTCCTCTCCGTTCCTAGTCTGCTTCTTTTACTGAATCTTTTGCTCTCAGTTGAATGTGGGCCGCAGACTCCTGCTTCTGCTTGTCCTTTGTAGCTCTTTACATCTATCTGTACTTAGTTACCATTGAATATATACCTATATTGTTCCTGATGTTTTGGCGACCTGAGTTGGACCTGAGTGTGATTATCCATCTGAAAATGCCCAAAGCTGCAGTACAATCTGTAACAATGGTGAGCTAATTGTGCATATCAGTCGACAATTATCAACAATTGGGTGACAATTGTAAGGGGCATAAGTAATTGAGCAAAATCTGATAATCGTCGATAATCCGCCAATTGTCAACAATTGTGAACTATTCTTAGCAATTATCATTTTCGGGTTTTCCTGATGTTGTTGACACAATTTTAATAGTGGCTAATAAGTAAGCACACAAATTCCACTTTGTTTGGTATTTATTGGAGATCGTCAGCTTGGTCATTGACATGCATTTTTTACTGTCACCTGCTCTGGTATTCTCGAGCGAACCCGGTCTCAACGGGAATTCGGGTCGAGTCGGATCGAGTTGCTCAAGCTGGCTCGAGTTCCGCTATATTTTAAAAATATACTACTGTATTACTTCGTTCAAATCGACAGGGGGGTGACGCGTGACAGGTTTAACCATTTCGACATTTCGACGGGGGCCGAATTTTTGCGTGACACCTCGAAAATTTCGGCATTTGAACCGAAAATTTTGTCTTTTTTGCACCTTTTGGGCAGTTCGGGGACCTGTGTGACCGCTGGGAGGTTCGACAGAGGCCCGCATGACGCGTGACAACGACCAAAATTCGACATCGACAGGGGGGTGCGTGACGCGTGACTGTCAATTTGAACGAAATAGTACAGTACTACATGACAATTGAACGGCATTTAATGGTACTATCATCGCTCTAGCGACTCCATCCAAGCGCATGCTCAAGGAACTCCCCGCTCGAGTTCAAAAGTAGGCTCGAGCAAAGTACTTGCTCGAGTCCGAAACTCCGGTTGGGTCCCAGACTCCGCTCGAGTGCCAGACTCCGCTCGAGCAAGCTCTCCGCTCGAGTCAAGTACTCCGCTCGAGAAAACTCCCCGCTCGAGTCAAGTACCTGCTCGAGTCGAATTTAGCGGTGAATCTCAATCAAGTCCTGTGTTCGGATATCACTAGATGCCAGTAAATAAAATTCCTATCACAAGACAAAGTCCCAATGTCCGCCGTTGCTGTACGCCCCATTCTCAACCAAATCAAATAAGCTCGCCCCGTCCCTGTGATTTCGTCAGAAAGCAATGACACCGAAGCTACTCAAAAACTAAAAAAACATTACTGAAATCGTGCTGGCGGTGGCATACTTGTTGGCGCGATGTAGGCACCAACACACCGGTCGTGTCGATCATCGTGTTAGTGCTGCTCATCGATGCGGAATACAAAGGCCACTCACCGTCCAGGTGGCATTACCGCCTCGCAGTAAACATTCTTAATGTGTGTAGGAGATGGGGGTCGAGGCGGTGGACGATGGGGTAACGTAATATCGATGAAAAGTCAGACAGCCGACGGTTCGTCAGGCGCGATTGGTGAGTTGTGGTGGTGGTGGTAGTGGAGGAAGAGCAGGCATAACACATGACATTATCATAAAGGCGAGTGATGCAGCGGAAGCCGGCCCGTGCGTGCCAGCGGTGATGTGACCCAACAAAATAAATTAATGTGATGGTCCAAGCAATTCGTAGCGGGTTCGAACGTCCTGTAGTATTTCACTGTGCTAAGTTAGTGTCCCGTAGTCAGACTCCAAAAAATCCTATGATGCAAGCAGTCAATAGATTTTTTATATGGAGTCTGATTTTATTGGCGCCTCAGACCAAGGAGCCCGATTCCCGTGATAAGTGCGTGACTGCACGTGCGCTTCCCACGCCTCAGTCGCTGCACATCTTCACTTCTCTTGCCAACAAAAATGCCCACAGTTGGCCGTCGAACCCAAAACTTATACAAGTACCCTTTACCAGAATTTCTGCGCTCGCTATTTCAACAAGAAAGTTGAGGGGACCCGCCTTTGGCGGGTGTTTTGCTGTATGATCCGTGCTCACAACGACATAGTGGACTCTGAGCTCGCCTGTTTTGGCCCTCGCTAGCGCTCGGGCATCTCGTGGGAAGAAGCATCTGACTTATCACATGACTTTCACGTGGTGGCAGTGTTCTTCGTGTTTTAAAGTATAGGAAATGATGAAGCCACATATTTTGGTGGTGAGTTGCTCGTTCAAGGGTAGTTAGCTCACAGTTTCTTACCCCAAAACTCATAGGCATATATAATGAAGATTCTAATTATTTTCGGCCACCCACAGCATATCCTGAGTGCACTGCATGCTGCCTCGGAAGAAATCTCGCTGGAAAGAGCGTGGGAAGCGCACATGTAGTCACGGGGATATCACGGGAGTTCGAGCTCCTTGGTCCGAGGCGCCAACACATTCAGACTAGTGCTAGGTAGAGAAAGAATGATTTTTTATTCCTAATTAATGAAGTATCTTGACTCTTCGTTCCTATTGTCTTCCCTCCCACTACCGCCCTCTACTTCGCTCCTGCGTTTCTTTTGACACTTTCTACTGTGTTTGCACCTTCCACAGATCATCCTTGGCTTTCGTCTTTCCCACTTGTCCTTGGCCATGCCCCGCTCGTCCCGCCGCTCTCGCGCCACGCCCGCATTCTCGATGGCCCCACAACCCACCCTCCGGCTCAACATGCCCCGCATAGAGACATTGCGATACATTTGTGGGCGGCCGACTCCCGAGCAGATAGACCTCCACTTGGCAAACTCGGGACTGTACGTGCGCAACAGCCGGTACAGCGACGTCTACTGCTGCGCGGAGGTTGACACAGCGACTCTCAAGGACTTTCAGCGGCACCAAACCTCCCGTGCCCGGTTCCTGCGTGCCCTCTGGGTGAAATTCGGTGTCACCACGAACCTTCACCACCGCCACTGCCAGTACCGCCGATGCGAGCACACGGGCCTTGTCCATCTCTGGCTTTTCACCTGCAGAACCCGGAACCACTACCGTCTTGGTGAGTCTTTTCTCCTTCATTTTCTTCCCTCTAAGTGCTTTTCCAGAGCACTTGTCCCATCTAGGCTTCAGGCCCAGTGAGAATCCCATATTGGGAGATCTGTTGAAAGAGTGATAAATCAATTGAACAGATCTCCCGCCAAAAAAACGAGCATGGTCAGATTTTTTTCTAGCGAGATCTTTTCACACCTTTTCATGTCGTGAAATATCTTGTATCATATTTTCGGTCTGGTTGCAAATGCTCCAGGCAGAAATATTATTTCCGTTGCTCTATTATATTCATTTCGAGCTCAAGCCAGTGTTTAGGCGGACATTAATAAGTTGATAACATATGTATATGCACATCGGGTTACAAGACGAAGTGTTACGTGTCGAAAATACTACAAAGATATGAATGTCTGTAGAAGGGAAGCCAGGAATCTTGTCTTGCGGGTTTGCAAGTAGAACAGCCCGGAGTCCGAAATGCTTGAGTTTGATGCACATGCTTGACATTGTAGGCTCTTTGGGGTCTTGAATCCAAATCTTGTGCGACACGCCGTACAGTAAAAGAATAGGTCTTGCAAACAGTGCCTTGTAAACCTTGGGAAAGGGGTAGATTTGAGGGTTAAAGCTTGGATTAACGGTAATCTTGGAACTTGAAGCAGCTTGGCAAACAGAGGCAAGAAGAGACCAGCAATTTTGAATTGAGAGGGAAATTTGAAGATGGGGGTCGAAAGAAGGGAAGCAACGATCTCCAATCATTTGGTGTTCATAAGTATAGTGCGTACGGACCTCTCTTCATGAATATTCCACTCAGGACACACTGGCGACAGATATGAACAGACTAGCGACCTGGTTTTTTTATCCAAATCTTGTCCGCACAGATTTGAAACGATATGTATCGATACGTATTGATTGTAATTATATCTCCCATTCTGCACAGATCTCCCAATACGGGATTCTCACTGGGCTTCAAGTGCGACACTCCCGCCGATCGTTCCCTCTGTCCCAGCTGCGGGACGACCCACTGCGAGTATTGACGTCTCGGGTGCTCCTTCCGCGCGCTCGTCGGCCGATTCCGTGCCTTCGTCAACAATGCCATTGGCGAGTCCAGTGTTTGCATGTAAGTCTAGCTTCATCTCTGCCTGAGTCTTGGCGAGTCCGGGGTCATCCAGAGCCTTGCCGCGGAGTCTTCACGGTGATACAGATAGAAGTTGGGGTCAGTGTGGGCGACGGATATGCGAAAACTAGTTCACACACCTCAACATTCGCTCCCGGGCCTTCTTCTTCAGTTCCTCCTCATTCCTGTGCCCACAAGTCACTCACAGGCCAGCGAGAATCCCTATAAACATCTTTTGAGGCGGTATTTGGTGGATGCAAGCCGACGGGTGTCTCTACTGCGAGAGTTGGCGGTGGGTGGTTCTGGACTGAAAGTTTGGATAAATACAGGCAAGCTGAGGCGAATCTTGAGGTCAATTGAAAGGTCACTTATTCTTGCTCCAAAAATGCAAAATTTATTCAAAGTGTGCCTGAGGTCATAGAAGGATTCTGTCTACTCAGAATAAGATTGATACTGGATAAGAAAAAAACACGCACGGCCTAAGATACTCAACATACTTGAAGCCCGAGAACCACCGTTCCGCCCCAAAGAAGTCGGGAAGGGTATGAGAAGGGGTCCACACAGGTTCTTCAAACCCCACCGACTTTTCTTGCAACGACTGTCCATCGTTGCGAAGCTCGATCCATACAGTTGAGGCCACACTGAGAGCTATCACTTTGTGATGTGCTCCCTCCGCAGGTCAAAACAGCGACCAAGCGAAAGCAGAGCAGAATAAAAAAGGCTCACACAATTCCACAAGGCCTGACTCCGAGTCGAACAAAGGACTCGTGAAGAGCCAATGGAATCACCTATGCAATTCATGCGTGCTAACCGTTGCACTACCAAGCCATGCTCCCACTTGGATTTGCGGACGTGAGAAGGCGAACCTACCAGTTGCGGATGAAAAAAGGCACAGCAAAAAGCCAAGTGGTTAAATTTCCAGGGCCGAACCTTGATTAAGGGCTGCGCGTGTATAGTTGATGAAGCTGTTCTCAACGAAACCGTGTGTGCTACCAACTGCATCATTTGACCGTGATAGCTGGACAACACGAAGGATTCAGCAAGACACAAAGTGGTGGAGCCTTCCGGAGAGCTTCAGAATGGGGTAGCTCATTTCCGGTCTAACAAGTGGACTGAATGGGGCCCGATCATTTTGCGGAAGCGTAACTTTCACTAAAACAAGGCGCGGAAGGGAAGGCGGAGTGGAATAGGGAGTAACCGCTAAGTGGTTGACTCGTTTGCGGAATCGACCCGGGCGGACCGAGTGCAGCGGAGGACAGGCCTGGGATAAAAAGACTTGCGGAAAGCTTATGGAAAAAATTATGGAGGACAGACAACCCCTTCTTGTTGCGGGGATGCATGGAGATTTGCGGGGACCAGGCTGAGCAATCGGAATAAGAAACTGCGCAAGCAGAATAGGAAATAAGTACGCGTGTGAGGACCAGGCGGGAATCAGTATAAAGAGTAGCTGTTCTGTACTAGAAAGATCATCTTATTACCTCCCACTGCTCACTCCTAAAGCTACTCTTCCCAAGTACATCGGGGCAGAGATTTAAAAATATAATACATTCCGCCGCAGGTTGCGCTGCTCAATAGTGGGACTGACCAAGGGTAACTAGGACCAAGGGCGCCAAGAAGTACCAATCTGCAGATCTTCCTGCCCGATGCATTCGAGGCAGAAGGGAATTTCGTCACTCCGGAGCTGAAAACATGCGGTAGCGGAATACGCGGCACCTCACCAAACGGCCAGCAGCCTACCTTGGCTGCGTGCAACCGTTACATTCGGGATTCGAACACATAACCTTGCGTGGAATACCACCATATCGTTGCGGAAAGGTTACTCCGCACGACTATAACCACTTCCCACCTTCATTTCACACCACTTCACCCCTGAGCCACCCTGCGGAGTCGATTCCACAACAAGTAGATGTTCACAGCGGAGAAAGAAACCGAGTTACGAAGGGCATTACTATAACCCGTCTGCACTGTGTTACACAGTTCTGAAGATACCTGCCATCCAAACTATACGAGACGGGTGGAAAAGGATAACCCACATACCTCATACATCCCGGTGCGGAACAGTGTTCACATTGCAGAGTACACCCTTCGCGCAAGTGTAGAGAAGACTATCCCACCGCAGCTTGTTTGAAAGGCCAGCCCCCAACGAGGAATAAAATCCTTGAGGAACCTGGCAAAAGTCTATTCCTTACGGAAGAGACTGTACCACCACCTTCACTAAAAAACCAAATGTATGCATCTCCGCGACAGAGTAATTTCCCCCTAGAGGATGAATTAAACTTTGTGACCTCTGCCTGACTTTACCCACCGGGGTCAGACACATCACAGAACGGCAGTCCACATCACAATGTGTTGCTTCATCAACCGAAACTTGGTCTTGACGGGCACGGCGTTTTTGACATGCTTCGGCCGGCGTGTCGGAGGGAGGAGGTCAATGTGCGCTTGGACTTCCAATGCCTGGCGGGTGGTCTGTCGCCTGGCTTTAGAGCCCACCTTGTCCCGAGCCTTGCGGGGTGTCGAGGGCTTGGAAGTGGAGGCGGAGGTGTAAGAAATCGAGGAGGGTACAGGGGGGACATCGTCGACGGAGTCACACTGGGGGCAAGTCCCACGGGCGTGGGTTTATGGCATAGGACCGACACTTGCCACGACCCTTGCCATGGCGTTGCAGAAAATCCTTTGTTCTTTGTCAGTGTGTGAACTTGGCATGTTTCGCCCGGCTATCATAAGGCAATCATTTCAACTTCCTCATCTTCGGTATTGCAGGTCTTTTCACGTCCAATTCTCTTCCAGTATGACAGGGACTTTATACCAACATGTTCTCCTGTTGAGCTCAATTTTTTCACGGTGTGGGACGGTCCCCCAGGTGCCAGGCTCAAGCTGCATGCAAAGTAGATGCCTCATACTGCAGCAATCACGGTGGAGAAAAACTGAACGGGAGAGTTGTGTATAGTTTTGTGAATTCTACGCACATTCATCACAACTATATTCAGAGTGAACTCACTCCTACTATTTACCTTGTGAACATTGAATCCTCCCACGCTGACAATAGAACAAAGACATTGTAAAACACCGTTGCAAGGGTCATGGCAAATGACGGTCCTATGCCATGAACCCACGCCTGTGGGACTTGCCCCCAGTGTCAAGGTCGGGGGTTGACGTGATTGCTGCCAGGTGTTCGTCGAAGGTGTCAGGCTGCGCCAAATCCTCTGGCTGCACGTCATCGAGCGCAGCCATGACAGTGTCTGCAATATTGAAAGTAGTGTCCACTTCGATGGCCTCGCCCTCCCATGGGGAAAAACCATGCCCAGAGCGTGTCTGAGATCAAAGAACATCATTTATGAGGTGTTATGAGGGCTGGAGAAAGACTCACCACCCGAAAATCCTGGGTTAATGCGTCGACGACAGCGTGATTTGCTGTGGATGGAAATGAGCAACGGAGTTTTTTTCTTTAAAAAAGTTTGACACGAAAGGAAGGAGAGGCGGGGGCGGTGAGGGGTTGAGAACAGGGTTTAAGGGATGGGGGCCACCCGTGCCACTCACTTTGCCTATGCCACTATGTTCCCGGGCTCAAGTGCCACCGTGACATAGGTAAAGTGAATGGAGTGGGGAGGGGGGAAGAGGGTGGAATGGATGGAGGTATACATCAGGAAAAAACCTCCTTTACTAATTTAGGGATAATTTTCTTCCTGGCCGGTAGATTAGGATAAATTAGTGAGAAAGTAAGAAATCTGCGCAAACGAAGGTAATGCGTGGTAATTTTCATAGGGAAAACACAGCCAACTGAATTTGGAAGCTCTCAACACAAGTCTCGACGGGGTTGAGAGGGAAGTACTGTAATCCTCTCCTTAAATCAACCCCTCAAAAATCAACCAGTGTTCAACTCTGTTCTAAGGTTTGCCGAGACCGACCCTAAAGTCCGAGAAAGTCCGTCGGATCAAGTCCCAGCACGTGAGCGCGAAAAGTGGTTCGTTTTGATGCTGTCACAACAACATCAAATACCTTTCTTCCTTTCCCCCCATCTTCGTCCCCTGCGCTCGACTCGTTTTCTTTCACAACTAGCTGCAAACTCCTCAATGTTGTCCTCAAGGTTCACACATTCAATTTACCCATTCTCCCACTGATTTGAACTGAGTCGCAGGATATTCACTTCGAGCTACACGTTCGTAGACCTAGTATGGCGCACACCACCTATCCCCGCAGATCTGTTGCGTTCCAGTCTTGCATCCACCCGCGGCGCCACGTACGTCTGTCATACTCACTGCTCCACCGACGTCCATACGATCACAGCGGCGCTGGCTTTATTGTGCGACCGTACAACGGTGAGCACCTATCTGGTCTATTTTTATTTCGGTTGCTCAAACAGCCGATGTTCTGTCCAGGTCTCGTCCATGCTGCAGGCCGTCTACGAGACCGAGGGCAGACCACATCGATGCTGTTACGGGACGAGGAACTGCCTGAGGTGTGTCAGTTACATCCAACCTCTTAGATACACTCGCTGACCTCGATTTACACATCCTCATCCCCGATTTTACCTGATGGCGGCGCGCAAGTTGTTCATCCCAGTTGCCCGGTTCTTTCATGTTTGCCTTCAAATTGAGACTCTTTTCTACTCCTCAACTGCAATTCAAACTCCTGGGTGGTCCCGCTACAAGACTTTCTCAAACCACGTCAAACGTTACTGTGGTCGTGCGATGATTACACTTCAAAGGTCATCTACTCAATCCTTCAAAGTCCCTTCGTCAAGCCTTCAAGATCGCGTCCTCAAGCCTTCAAGCAACCCTCGAAGGGCCCTTCCTCAAACTGCGCGTTACCTCGCGACCACATCAATCCTTACCCCGTCAAGTTGTTTCCCGGGCGCCGCATCCTCCTCGACATCTGATTAGAGCCCTTATCGTTACCCTTCTCCCCGACGTTATGATATATCCCGGTCGCGGTGCTCCTATGGTTTCCTCTGTCCGTAAATTGGGTGGTCGTGGGTCTCATGTTGGTTTCTTCCGTATGTTTGTACCTCTGTTGTATGTAGGCTGTTAATTTAAGTGTTTCCGATGCAATTTGAATGATTCTTCGTGCATAGTTGAACGATAATTCCACACTAAGAGGCGGTAAGGCGAGGAAAAGCTTCGCTAAATTAGCTACCTTCAGGGTAAGTTAGCCCTAATTTATCGGCAAGCTTACTAGAAAGCTAACAGAACTAATCGAACTTAAATAGCTAAATTAGTGCGAATTTGGACCAATCTGACCTCTTTAGCGAAGGAGGTGTTTCCTGATGTACTTGCCTTTTGGGAAGGCCATGGTTGTGGGTATAGAGGAAGTGGGTATAGCGGTGGTGGTGGGAGGAGAGAGGACAAAGGGCTTACCATCAGTCGATCAATATCAATAATGGTCCCGCTAACGTCCCGCTACGGTGTCCCGCTAACGTCCCCATAGCTGTGATCGTGTTTGTCACGTGCTGCATTAACATTTCCATTGATTGCTCCCTCTCACCACAAATGACCGGTGGTGCGAGGAAGGGCAAGGCAGCCATAACGGGAAGAGTTCAAGCCTGTCCCGCCCGTGTCCGTGTCAGCACCACACAACAATGGTGGTCGTCTCGTAGGATCGCAAACCATCACGGTGGGCCACTTGGAAACGTATTGCGCAGCCGCGGAGAAGAAACTTATGAAGGTTTGTACCCTACTCCTCTCCATCCCCCTGCTTCTCATCATCCCGCTCAGCTCTCTCCGCGGACCGTCGGTGCGCCTTCAACGAACTGCGGGACATCACAAATCTGACTCGGGTGGACAAAGGCTGGGACGGCTGGGACGATGCCGGTGGTGACGAACTTAAAGACC